AAAGGGGAAAAGCCTTGGCCCCTTCCTTTTGCTAACCCCCCCCCCCCCCCCACTTTCAAATTCGTGACGTAGGCCCTGCCAAAAGATCGTGTAGTGACCATTGTCTAAACGTAATCATGTCCTCCATTGTGTCTCTGTCATTAACACTTTCCATTGTCTTCGTATCCACGTAACGTAATAAACAACACATTTGTAGCGTCCCCTTGTTATATGTGTATACGCCCTAAATTGTAATTAGTCAGTCAGTAAATTCATCAAGACGCAACGGTCACGCAATATCGTCTCTTGCTGGCTCCGTGTTTTCTGCACGTTAAATCAGACATAAAAACGACAGCATTCGCAACAACAAAACCAAAATTAAATATAGGAACTTCTTCAATCAGCGTACCTATAAATGGTGACCACGACGTGACCGACTGGTAGGTTCTGCACTGTCGTTTTTATTCGTTTTATGTCAGCCGTCTCAACGTCAACCACTCGCAAATTCCTGGATTCATCACGTTACAACTGCCATCACGCATACATTCAACGCCTACGCTGGCTCACAAACAACGTCCTGTTGGCTGTTCCGATGCACCCTGGATTTGTGATGTCTGTCTACTTGTTTCAACCCGTTTTGCGTACAATGTTTTAATTCACCTCATCAACTAACCCCGCTCCGCCAGCACACTCGACCGACACCATCCTACAGCACAGAAAACTGTCCAACAGCACTACACCGTTCATCGCTTCGCTGAAGTACACACAGAATCACGAAAATGCCTTCGTTAAACACAACATCAGACAGGTTCGGCAGCACACCCTACGAAAAGCTGGTGTTTATCACGCTAGGTCGACAACATTCCGCGCCCAGAAAATGTTGCAGCACACACAAGGCAGCACCGCAGCACTCATCACACACAGTGCCATCACCCGCCTTGCAAGCATCCAAAGGTTCCTGGTCACCCTACTCACAAAACCTCGCATCGCATCGCAAGCACCGCATCGCAAACATCATGGTTCCTGGTCATCCTTCTAAAACCTCGCAGACACAAAGGCACGATTCTACAACATTAAGACACACGAAGCTTCACGAACATCTACAGTGATTTGAACATTTAACACAACTTTTCTTCCGGACATTTTATTAAAATTTTTTCAAACATTTTAGATAACATTTCATAACATTTCATCGTTCGCTTCAACCCACTCGCTCTCTAGGGGGGAGCTCTGTAGTGACCATTGTCTAAACGTAATCATGTCCTCCATTGTGTCTCTGTCATTAACACTTTCCATTGTCTTCGTATCCACGTAACGTAATAAACAACACATTTGTAGCGTCCCCTTGTTATATGTGTATACGCCCTAAATTATAGTCAGTCGGTAAATTCATCAAGACGCAACGGTCACGCAATATCGTCTCTTGCTGGCTCCGTGTTTTCTGCACGTTAAATCAGACATAAAAACGACAGCATTCGCAACAACAAAACCAAAATTAAATATAGGAACTTCTTCAATCAGCGTACCTATAATCGTATGAAAAATGCCTATGAAAGTAAATGAAGGGAGCATTCTATTATTTTTTGTATGTACTTTGTGTTCTATGTGATAACAACCAGCTACTGTGTTATGAACAGCTGTCTATCCAACAACAGAAAGTAATTGATTTGCACTTATCTCTATGTACATTAGCATCTAGCATCTAACTTATTTTGAATTGTCGTTGTTGTTCGACTTGATTGATGTCTTTTAATTACGATGTGTAAAACCATTTTGTAAACTCTCTAAGTTTCGCTAACAGTTCAATAGGGTTGAAGTACAAGATATATATTGATTGCTTCGTGTAGCTGCCTGAATGCTTCTTGAACAATCCCCCGTGTTTCAATTTATTATTGAGCCTAAAACAGGTTTTCATTATCTACCCTTAACTTGTCAGCTTCTCGTCCTTCTGTCAGGCATATGCAATTTAAACAGAAAACATTCCGATCTTATTCAGCGAAGTTTGCTTTCGTTTTTCAATTGAGCGTGGAACGAGGAAGTTTTTGTTTTTACGAGTATTCATGACGCTCTCTTAGCGTAGCAAGGCTTAAACTGGAGATTTTGACGAGCTTCCTTGTCTTCCACCCGTCTTCTCATGCTTCTCTTGCACCCTTCTTCTAATTCAAAGTTTTCCTTTCTATTCAAGATCTGTTGTTTTGTCTGGGGCTCCACAGGAATCACTGCTTGATCTTTCATTGTCTGTTTTTGAACCGATGGTTATCTGCTGCGAGTGCTACAATACTTTCAAAAGACAATTGGAGCACTTAAGCAGTTTCAGTCACTTCTCAATCTGCATTTAATTCACGCCTAAAGAAATAGCTGAGTTCCCTGTTTCTCACATACAGATCGCGTTCGAATATTATGTGCATTTATATTGAGATAAATGCAAAAGGTTGTTGAAAGGGTATTGGGGAGAACAGTGAATGTACTTTGACAAAATGGCTGTTGATGTTGCTACAATAAGCCATTGGCAGGTATATGTGTGGTCGCATATTGTAAGTCGCAAAACATCGGCTGCTCCATATAGAATCAATATGTGTAGTATCCATGTCGGATGCGCAACTAATCGTCAGTTTTTTGACGGAATTTGAGCGGTATCTCGTTCTTGTAACGGTATCTATTTGAGAAAAAATACGAACGCATCTTTTCTAATTGTAATGATGGAAAACATTGTAGAGGCAATTATCACTAGGAACGGCGCTCCATTAAAAAAATATATAGAGATTGTGAGAAAGAACCCAGTTGTCTATTGCATGCATTTAATTTGTCTTTTACGCCTATTTAGCATTTGTACAATAATTTGATTTCGATTCGATCGGTACAAAAATGACATTTAGGCTAAGATACGGATGATGCACATTTTAGTGATGGTTGAGGAGACACGCAGACACTGGGATGGTTACGATTTACATTCTACTTTGGAAAAGCCAGGCAACATGGCGTATGAGTTTAGGGGCAAGGGTAGGGAAGACTGCCCGCCCCCGATGTGCGCCTAAAGAGGAACAGCTGCAAACTACTTATTATTCGAATGTTGTAGGCTATCTTAGATGAACGACTTTAGTCAGCAATAATTAATGCTCACAGTGTGGTCCAATTGATTATATTATCCAATAAGGATCCTGTTTCAAGGCCCTAGAAAAGGATATTCCCTGGAAAGGTCCTTAGACCGACAACTTACGCCGCTTGCCTCGCGATTCTGTACCGGACATGGTCCTTCCGTCCCAAAGTCTGACACCCGCAAACCTGATACGCACTGAAGTATGAGGGGTTGGTTGCTGATATAAAAAGCTTATCTCTGGGTGAATTGTTTTATCATGGGGCTGAAGCGGATACCAGAATAAGAGGCGGTGGTTGAAACACTTGGAATGCTATCGATGTCTAAAATAATGGGCGTTATATCATCAAGGTTCTGAAATCTTGAGGTTGTTTTCCGCAGAAATTGGGAGGTTCATTTTCTGGTGCTCCCTACCGCCTCAGCCTCGTAAAGGCTTACCTCTCTGTTATAAGTGGGATGTCCAAACAGAATTTTCTAGAATCAGAGTCAAAGTGCAGCGCTTAGCAGTTGAATTGTGCATTTTATGATACAAGCATGAAATTTGGTACAAGTACACAGTTTGACACGCTAATTAAGATGAGATGCAGACCCCACTTGAAAAATGCCCCCAAATGCTATTTTTAGACTGGGTACCTGTACCCAGTCCTTTTTGCCTTCCTCCGTATCTTTTAAACTATGCACGTTATAAACCCGATAATTAGTTTCCTGGCGTAATTTGACATGCTGATTAAGATGAGATGCAGACCCAACTTCAAAAATGCCCCCAAAAACTATTTTTAGACTGGGGTACCTGTACCCAGTCCTTTTTGCCTTCCTCCGTATCTTTTAAACTATGCACGTTATAAACCCGATAATTAGTTTCCTGGCGTAATTTGACATGCTGATTAAGATGAGATGCAGACCCAACTTCAAAAATGCCCCCAAAAACTATTTTTAGACTGGGGTACCTGTACCCAGTCCTTTTTGCCTTCCTCCGTATCTTTTAAACTATGCACGTTATAAACCCGATAATTAGTTTCCTGGCGTAATTTGACATGCTGATTAAGATGAGATGCAGACCCAACTTCAAAAATGCCCCCAAAAACTATTTTTAGACTGGGGTACCTGTACCCAGTCCTTTTTTGGTCTTCTTCCATATCTTTTAAACTATGCAAGACATAAATCTGAAATTTAGTGTTCTGGCGTAATTTGACATGCTGATTAAGATGAGATGCATACCCCACTTCAAAGACGCCCCAAGAATCTATTTTTAGACTGGGGTACCTGTACCCAGTCCTTTTTGCCTTCCTCCGTATCTTTTAAACTATGCACGTTAGAAACCCGATATTTAGTTTCCTGGCGTAATTTGACATGCTGATTAACATGAAATACAGACCCAACTTCAAAAATGCCCCCAAAAACTATTTTTAGACTGGGGTACCTGTACCCAGTCCTTTTTTGGCCTCTCTCCATATCTTTTAAACAATGCAGGTCATAAACTCGAAATTTAGTTTTCTGAAGTACTTTCACATGCTAAATAAGTTGAAATTAAGAGCCCACTTCAAAAATGCCCCCAAAAGCTATTTTTAGACTGGGGTACCTGTACCCAGTCCTTTTTTGGTCTTCCTCCATATCTTTTAAACTAGGCAAGTCATTAACCTGAAACTCAGTTTTCTGACGTGATTTGACATGCTGAATAAGATGAGATGCGATAAAATATTGAAAACCGCCAAAAAATATTTCCTTAGACTGGGGTATTTTTACCCAGTCTTCCATTGGATCCTATTCTTAAATGTGAAAACATGCAAGTTGTAAAACGGGAGTAATTTGACGTTTAAAACAAAATATCTTATAACAAACCTGAACGGTTCTCAGGCCTGGACTCGTTCTATACGGTAAAAACATAAAGAAAGTAATTGTCCTGTATTAGGATTATTCCTAACCTACCACAGGTCAAACTCTGCAACTCTTAAACTATTTTCAGCATATACTGTAGATTTATGATGGGGATACCTTTTACAGTAAACTGTTCGTTTAGTTCTCTGAACACTGACCATCACAACTGCATAACGGTGAGCAAGGGATGTCATATTTTCGACACATACATTTTCCACGGCAGTTCTTTTTGCACGCACAATGCTTCAGTTCTTTCAAGGACTTTGAGGCCTCTGGGGTTATCATCCATACTGGCAAAATGGAGCCATTCACCTCTTTCCATCCCCATGCAGTTATATCTGGTAGGTTTTGGATACATAGTAAGGACTGTCTCCAGACATGGCTGAAAATCAAAGCCCAGTGATTAGTTATCTTCATTTTGTGGAAGAGGCAAACTCACTGCCTGGGACGTTTGGAAGGCTTTTCCTGAGATAACAGAAACTTTCGTTTCTCTTTCAAATGCTCCTGATACAGTTACCAATGAACATATGTCGTTGCTTCAGAGGTACGTGGTTTTGCTGTACGATCGGTCTTCTCAGTGTCTTTCAGTGAATGAAGCAAGGAGGTTTCTCTTTACAAAGAAATCGAGGACAGTTGAAGGCATACCACCAACAGAGGATGCTTTGCATCAACATGCACTTCGGTCAGCTTTTCAAGGAGGGTAAGATTAGATCACACTAGTGACCAATTGCTACGTACATGCCTATACAATGAAATTTTAGATTTTTATGTTGTTTATTGTTGAAGTCACTTATTCTAAAATAGGTCTACTAGAACTTTTTTCTCTTGATACTGCCCATTGCTACAGCATGATACATACTTGATAACTAATCACTGGGCTTTGATTTTCAGCCATGTCTGGAGACAGTCCTTACTATGTATCCAAAACCTACCAGATATAACTGCATGGGGATGGAAAGAGGTGAATGGCTCCATTTTGCCAGTATGGATGATAACCCCAGAGGCCTCAAAGTCCTTGAAAGAACTGAAGCATTGTGCGTGCAAAAAGAACTGCCGTGGAAAATGTATGTGTCGAAAATATGACATCCCTTGCTCACCGTTATGCAGTTGTGATGGTCAGTGTTCAGAGAACTAAACGAACAGTTTACTGTAAAAGGTATCCCCATCATAAATCTACGGTATATGCTGAAAATAGTTTAAGAGTTGCAGAGTTTGACCTGTGGTAGGTTAGGAATAATCCTAATACAGGACAATTACTTTCTTTATGTTTTTACCGTATAGAACGAGTCCAGGCCTGAGAACCGTTCAGGTTTGTTATAAGATATTTTGTTTTAAACGTCAAATTACTCCCGTTTTACAACTTGCATGTTTCCACATTTAAGAATAGGATCCAATGGAAGACTGGGTAAAAATACCCCAGTCTAAGGAAATATTTTTTGGGGGTTTTCAATATTTTATCGCATCTCATCTTATTCAGCATGTCAAATCACGTCAGAAAACTGAGTTTCAGGTTAATGACTTGCCTAGTTTAAAAGATATGGAGGAAGACCAAAAAAGGACTGGGTACAGGTACCCCAGTCTAAAAATAGCTTTTGGGGGCATTTTTGAAGTGGGCTCTTAATTTCAACTTATTTAGCATGTGAAAGTACTTCAGAAAACTAAATTTCGAGTTTATGACCTGCATTGTTTAAAAGATATGGAGAGAGGCCAAAAAAGGACTGGGTACAGGTACCCCAGTCTAAAAATAGTTTTTGGGGGCATTTTTGAAGTTGGGTCTGTATTTCATGTTAATCAGCATGTCAAATTACGCCAGGAAACTAAATATCGGGTTTCTAACGTGCATAGTTTAAAAGATACGGAGGAAGGCAAAAAGGACTGGGTACAGGTACCCCAGTCTAAAAATAGATTCTTGGGGCGTCTTTGAAGTGGGGTATGCATCTCATCTTAATCAGCATGTCAAATTACGCCAGAACACTAAATTTCGAGTTTATAACTTGCATAGTTTAAAAGATACGGAGGAAGGCAAAAAGGACTGGGTACAGGTACCCCAGTCTAAAAATAGATTCTTGGGGCGTTTTGAAGTGGGGTCTGCATCCCATCTTAATCAGCATGTCAAATTACGCCAGAAAACTAAATTTCGAGTTTATAACTTGCATTGTTTAGAAGATATGGAGGAAGACCAAAAAAGGACTGGGTACAGGTACCCCAGTCTAAAAATAGCATTTGGGGGCATTTTTCAAGTGGGGTCTGCATCTCATCTTAATTAGCGTGTCAAACTGTGTACTTGTACCAAATTTCATGCTTGTATCATAAAATGCACAATTCGTCCATTTTTTGAGGTTAAGCGGCTGCACTACCCCCTCTTTTGCAATGATTTACTCAACAGGTATCCTTGATAAGCTTGCCGCCATTTATTTGATGATAGCTCTATTTATGCATAGGTTGCCAAGTATACCCTAGCCTTTTTCCACTGCCTATTCTTCGCTGTAAGCTCTCCTTTTCTATAAATGCCAGCTCATACTGTAATGAACCGTAATTTTAATGTTGTCTTTAAATGTGCAGCATAATGCTTTAAATGTTGTAATCAAAAGTCCTTTAACTAATGATCGGGTGGGGTTTATTTTACTTCAAATGTAGCTTATGTCATTTGCAATGGCAAGTGTGGGCACAGTACTCCACTCCAACGTCCAAAACATGGCAGTAGCCCTCTTTCTTCCATTTCAAGCAAAGTTCTTCAAAACCAGGTTTGTCCACTTTTGCTTCGCATTCACCTAACAAAATGAAAGTGAGAACATGGCTTCAAAACTTCTTGACTGGCACCTTTACGTGCAGTCTTGATCGATAGTACCCTGGGTGCCAATGCCACATAAATTCGAGCGCAGAAATAAAAGATAGGAGTTGAAAAGCCAAGAGGGGCTATCTGAGAAGCAGGCAAGGTGGCAGGGGGTGTCCCTCCTTGCCAGCACATTAAAATCCTGCTTGCTTTACTTTACTATGCAACTAGCCTGGGTCCCAGAACCACTTTTCCTTCTTCCTGGCTAGACGCTCCTCTGCTTCTCCGCTTCTCCGCTTCTCCGCTTCTCCGCTTCTCCGCTTGGTTTTCTATCTACGCGCTCGATAATTTGTGGCTCTGGCATCCAGGGTAGATATATGGTAAAGTAAAGCGAGCAGGATTTTAATATTTTCTTTTAAAGCAGATGAAACATTTCTAACATTGATAAGTTTAAAACGTTAAAGTGAGACAGTTTTTGCAGCATAGGGGAATACTAGAGCCCAAACCTCTCGCTCACGTCATGTCTTTACTCAGAGTCCAAGATGAAAAAAGATTCCTGTTTTGTCACGAACCATAGACGACTCGCGTGAAAGAGAACACGTTTTCGAGCAATGTTTACCTACAGTCTGATTACGTGTCAGCTTGCCTTCCCGTTATGGTAAAGAATGACAGAACAGCCAAACGCTAATATTGTCTACCAAAAGTTATGATTGCTGGTAAAAACTGGCTTTTTGGCGAGACTGACAAACAGTCTTGCTTGGAAATATTAATTATTCATCAGAATTGACGAAATGTCTGACTTGGTCTTCTGTCATCATGGTGATAGGCCTCTGAGCCGAGGGGATAGGCTTTTTCTCATTAGTAAAAATTAACATAGAAAGGGAAATTAGTGAAAAAATTCAAGCAAATAGTAACCAAAATTACTTTTTTCTGTCAATTTAGCGATTTTTTCAGCGTTTACAACTGACAAGATTCTTAGCATGCCCCAGCTCAGTGTTTAGATTCTAACAAATACAGAACCAAGCTTTCATGTTAAATATTTACACAAATAGCAACCAATGGTAAACTTTTTAAGGTTAAAAACATAAGAAAACTTAAGAAGTAAGATTTTCTATTCTTTATTTTCCCAGATTCAAATACAGATGGCTTTTGTACCCCTTGTAGTCATCCGTCAATTTTAGGATATGACTAATGGGTCAAGAATCTTCTCTGTTCTTTGGTATGAATATCCACGGTTTGAAGGCAGGTTTTTTTGCTTAGGTCAGTTGTAGATCCACTGTGTTCTGCCTGGTGTTCAATAGATCTGCCCTGTGCCCCTTGGTCTTACGTCTATAGATACGGTTAATTATCTATATCATATAAATCAGATTTTCTCCTGATACTTACGACAAAGTCCACACGTTTGTGGGCAGTTTTCCTTCATGAACTTGCCTGGCCTGTTATCCTTAGAGCATACATCGCGGAAGGTTTTGCACAATGTTTCGTATTTGTCGGCACAAACTAAAATGAGCAAGAATATTAAGCTTACAAATTGAATGACTTTTTACAGAGTTTTGTAGATAAAAAAACCAACAATCTTGCCACCAGAACTTATATGCTGGCTATTTTTGGAAAGCATTCGTTTCTTAATTCGATCATTAGTATTTTCGAGGTTGTAAAATTCAATTTTGCTATAAACCAACATCTTATTAGAAGTAAAATATCCCAAATAAAAGAAAAAATAAAATTTGACAGACTTGGGAACCTGTAAGCATTGCCTCAGTAAGCAAGACTCAGAACTGGTTTCCTGTTACATACACGCTTTCAAGAACTGCCTTACAAATGGAAAGGAATTAATCCTGCTTTCTGCCAAAACTACTTTTGTTGAAGAGGGTCCTCTTTATGCTTGAATGGAGAATTTAAGAAAGTTCCACCACGACTCCCGGCTGGGGCAGAGCAAATGTGGAGGAACAATTTCAATCCAGATTTTTTCTAGGTTTATTTCAATGAAAATGTTTGCTTTTGGGTGACGAATGCTTCAAAGTGGCGTGTTATCCAAACTATTGAAATATATTTCATTGAAATTAACGTGACAGAAAAATTTACCAATTTCCTCAAGGTTTTTGTTTATCTTCATAGTTTTTAGCTGCATATTATTTAACTAAAGCAGTATTAATGTTTTATGTTTTAAATGTCTATGAATATGCTGTATTTTTCTTCCAAGGCTCCACCTGCTTAATTTTATTTTGTCTGCTCTGCCCACATTTCTGCAGGATCTTTTCAGCTATTATTACCCAACGCAAATTGAAAATTTGTGGTGGAAACAGAAAAGACAGTTAATTTGGCTGATTTAACCAAGCCACGATCCTAGATGAATTCATTTGACAATAATGCTCTATCCAATGTTTAGCTAAATTAAGCACTCTTTCTGTTACCTGGGCAATTTGTTCCTAACTTGTTTTCCTTCTTCGTGACGTTATTCCAGCAACATCCGAATGAAGAAGTCTGACAGGCTGGTGGCGATTTTGATTCTAAAATAAAATCAGTTTATTAAAGTAGTTCTTCTTACAACAAAATCATTCCAAAAATTTGATAACAAAATTAACGCCAATGAACGCTTTGTTCCTAATATGACGAAATTAAGGCGTGGTCGGGAGGCTTGGTAACACATGTTATGTCCTTTCTAATTACGGTTTTCGTGGTGGTTGGTCGTAGAACCTATACATCTTCTAGCTTCTGGTGAAAAGCCTTGTTATTAATGTCACAAACTAAGATTATAAGGTCTACCGAAAACCCTTGCACAAGAAAGGTAATAGGTGCATATTATAGCAACTTATTATTCTTCTATACATGACAACAAACCAAAACTCAGATTTTGATATTCTGAGGATAGGGATAGTTGGTGGGTCATGGTAGTCAACCTTCTGATAGAAGATGGTACCTGATGATGATGATGATGATGAAAGAAAAGAATCCCCCATGGCCATAGACGTAGTGGAGACTTATCGTTTAGGAGGCTTAGGATAGGCCTTGCAAAATTATCATTTTCTTAATTATCATAGAAATGCCTAAATGAACCTGAAATTTGATAAATTTTGCGTGATAGAGGGGGTTGGGGGTTCCGTGTTGGCATGACCTTTGCGTTGGCAAAGCCGAATAGGATGAGCCGCCCGCCAGCACATTATGCTTTTCAAAAGATTTCTTGTGATATCAGTACCTTCGTGGTTCGTGGAGGTATGTGTTTGACACCTACAGTGCAAACTCCATCTCACAAGCATGCTCAAACTGCATTTGAAGCAAGATATTTTTTGAAAAGCATTTCAAATTTCGTAAGTTCTACTTTAAAAATCATGTGCTCGATGGGATTGTGGTTTTGTTGCAATTACAAAAAAACTCTGAGCCCGTGGGAACCTTTTCCAGTGCACGTGCGAGTGCATTGAATTTCCCAAGGCGAATACGTGATTTTCTTTATTAAATTCCCACTCTTGCTATGAACAATTTAGTTTTGCTGTTACCAAAACCGAATGCATTCTTTCTGGTGACAAATATGGCCAAGTCAGAGCAAAATCTTTCTGAAGGTAAGATTAAGTTTAATGTCAAATGTTAAATATATGAACTTCATTCAATGTTAACAAGATTAACTATTTCAAAGGAATACCGTTGAAAAAGAATTTAGGCAATTGCCTTGGTCCGAGCCTCAGACCACGTGCTTATTCCAGAGGCGGGTCCAAAGTGAGTTCCTTGGTGCACAGAACTCAGTCAGTTTTCCGACAGTTAAAAATAGTTTTGACTGCTGAAACAATAGCTGTTGCCTGCAAAAAGGTGAAACCTAAAAATTCTAAGTTTCATCACAGTCTCTTCTAAATCTTAAAATTGCCAGTCAATCCTAGAACTCGAAAATGAACGTTTTGTGCCTCGGAAGAGAATGAATTGAAACAATGGGATTTTTGTTTGAAACACGGATGGAACTCGGTCAAAACAGCATCTGAAACTCGGAAATAATACCATAATTGCAAGAGATTTGTACAACAGCCAGTAAATGATTTGCTACCTATTGTCTTTGTTCTATTGTGGAACTGCAAAACATTGAATTCGAAATGGCGACTGCAGATGTCTTATTTTTGCGACCCTCGCAGCATTCTAGCAGATTATTAAGCGTTTGAAATAAAACAAAGAAATATCTTTAATTTTCAAGAGCATTAACTACCTTGGTTTTAAATTGCAATCTTTTCAGTCTTAAATGGCACGGGAGACCTATGCTCAGACGGAACACCATATTTTGATGAATATGTTGGTGTTTACGGAGGTAAAACAACAAATTGCGAGCAAAACAAAAGGGACAAACTTTGCTGTGACATCCAAGACAAACAAAAGGGTATTGAGAAAAGGAGGAAGTTTTCAAAAATTTTCACAGAGGCACTGTTTTCTGTCAGAAAGAAATCAAGAATCTAGATTTAATGAGTGGTGTGTACCTACCCCTCCCTTCCCCCTCATGGTACCAAAATGCATAAATATGAGTAGTAATATTGCTTTAGGCACAATTATCAATGCATTATCTGAAAGACCCTAGCCTTTGCCTGAAACTCAGTCAGATTTTTTGCTGGATCCGCCCCTGCTTATTCGACAAAAGACGTTGGCCACAATGAAACTTAGAAAATGCTCCCTCCAACTCAGGCCATCTTCCTCTGTAAAAAGAATTGAACTGATATCATGTTAAATTGGGATTGGTACAAGTTTTAAATATTTTGAAATCCCATTGTCGACGGTGTCATGTTTAGCGGCTCAAATGGCTGGAGGCTTTTCAAAGCACTACAGCTAAACACCCATGAACATAGGCTAGCTATTACTTTGTGAACTAGTAGAATGTAAAGCAGTGGCGTGGTGGCTTAGAATTAGCTACAAAGCACCAATTTTGAATGCCCCCTAGATAAAGATGTCTTTGGTACAGTTCTATCAAGGCTGTTCTCATTATGCCAAAAAGTTTATTAGTGGCGTAACAAGCAGCTGCGTCCCCTAGGAAAAATAAAAAATAAAACTTGTTGCTGGGGGCCCCTAAAGGTTCGAGACCCTTTGTTATTTAACTAAAGGTATCTTTGGTCCGTTACTCCACTGAGTTTTATCTGTTTAACTATAGTGCATGAACATGAGAATTTCAACAGAAGAACTATACTTCTAAAAAATAAATGGCTGAATAGCTTTTTAAAGTTGATTGGTAAAATTTTCAATAGTAGTTATATCCAACCTCTTTGAGATCAAGCAATTCATTCTGTTACACAGAATTTCAAATCATAGAAATTCGATAAGCAATAGTAGATTGCCAAGGTATACTGGGATGGTGGTATTTCCCTGTGTTGGGTTCCAGAGCGAAAAGGGTTTTCAATGGTATGCGAAAAGTCTTGGTTTGGGCTTACCATGCGCACCACAAAAAGTATTGAATTTTTAATAAAAACGTTTGCAAAAACTGGGGGACAAACAAGGGGCCAGGGCCTCCTGCCCCATCCCCCGTAGAAAAGCCACTGCCTATGTAAACATAAATTTTGAACTCACTGCAATAGCCGCATGAATCATAACAGTACTCTTTCATTCTTTCAATAAACAGAGGGACTTTACACTGTCCTTTTAGTCGTCTGCACATGCTCTTTGTTAGTGTGTCCTCACATCTGTCTGTAATAAAAAACAATTTAGTATCTAAATATCTTGAAAACTTTGCATTTCTTTCTAGCATCTGAAAGTAGGTTTTATAGAACAAAGAAATTAAGCTTATTGAGAAGTTTCCAGATCTTTCCTCTTAGAAAGACCACACCCAAAGATGTGACCACACCCAACCTAATGAATGGACATTAAATTTCTATTCTTTCTCCCAATAGTTAGTCGTTCCTTTTAGCTTCCATAGGGTACATGAAACAAGGGAAAATGAAATGTTCAGCTTGCCCCTTGCTTCCTTGAGTGGAACATTAGATTTTTCCAAGTACAGGGGTGGGGGGTCTTCTTAGCTGCTATCATCTTTCTCTTCTCCATTAGATTCAGATAGATTCTGTCCCCTATATCAAGTTGTTCTGCCTAGCACTATAGCTTCACTAACTGTGCAATTTAGCTTTATACTTACGACAGAATTTGCAAGTATAGCGGCATCGTCTTTTCAAAACTCTCTGATATTCCTCTTTCTCACAATAGTGAACAAGATTGTGGCAGTCTTTACGTTCATCATTACAGTCTTCTCCTAAAAAAGAAGAGCAAAAATCATTTTCTTTCTTTAAAAGTAATATACCCTCTGCTCAGCAGCCTAAAGGAAGACCAACGAAGACTGATACATTTCCGAAAAGGATAAATTGAGGCTCGAAATCGGTGAAAATGGAGAATCAATTAATAGTAATAGCATCGAAATCTCGTCGACTATTTTGCTTTTTCTTTATCTGCTTTTGAGCAAAGCAAGACGTGCAAAAAGTTTGAGAAGCAATAGTAAAGCTTCTTCTGTGCTAGTATGTTTCATTTTATTCATTTTTTGACAAAGAAAGGAAGCATCAAAACTTGAACTGTTTTCTTGAGTTTTGAAATATTCAGTTTAAGAAAAAGTTAAAATATTTTTATAAAAAACTGTGTAGCCAGGGCCTTATTTTGAGGCTCAATGATAACCAATTTGTGCAATAGTAAATTCAAAATGTACAGTGTTAAGTAAAAAATTCTCAGTGACAGGTTTTAAAGCAATGAAATCAAAAGACACTTTTGTATTGAAGCCAAAGCTACCATTATTCCAAACGCTTCAGCTCAGTTGTTGGGAAAACGAGCGACGGAAAATCCTTAAATGAATGAGGCAACCCTCTGCCTTGAAGTCAGGGAGCATGCGCAATAATAGCTTCGCAACATGCGCATGCTCATTGACTCCAGGACGGAGGGTTGCCGCACTCTTTAAAAACTTTCTCCTGCTCGTTTCACCATTTCCATTTTCCCATTTTTGTTACAACCCTGTTTACCCGGTGTCACGTTTTGAATTTTAAAAAGTAGCTTGACAGTGAAAAATTCAGTAACAAAAAATTCTTCCTACTTTATATATCTTGATGAATAATATTCTCTCTTTTTTAAGCATACCATGAAATGAAGTTTCAACGCTGTTTACAACCACTCCTCTTTTTGAATCCATAGCTTCTAGGGCACAACATGGATCATATTTAAATAACCTTGTTACGCTGGATAAAGGATGGATTAAGGGATGATATAAATGGCAAAGTATCAAACATGCTCAATAACACATCCTATATTGAATTTAGCCACTTCCAGATTTGGAAATAAATTCATCTTACAATCACGCAAAAATTTATTGAAAATTTCACAATTCGCTAAAAATATATTATTGGCACAATTTCCTTTGCTTCCCGAATCCCAAAATACCTACTTTGCTATAGACGTGTTTCTTTTTAAAAAAGAGCTCTGCTATTCACGTATCGATTTTCATTAGCTTTCCTAAAATACGATTATTGTTTCGTCCTAAAACTTCAGTAAACTAAAACTAGAAAATACCTTTCAACTGGCTTTCTATATCTTTCTTTTTCAACTTCTCCAGGGCTTCAAAAGCCATTTCTCTTTTCTTGACTATAAATATTGTAGTTAAGAGTTAGTTTTTTATAAAGCAATAACATATTTGCTAAATAATAATAACAAACAACAAATGTATCCTCTATTTTTTAATTGCATTTGCTTTTAAAGCCTGGTGAAGATTAGCAAGCCTATGAAATTTCTAAAATCTAGACAAAGATATCAGTCGGTGGTACAAAAGTAGGGTGACAGAGCCACAAGGCCCGTAGGAACAAATTTTTCGAGAGTCTCTTGGTCCTATGAATCTTTAAGAACTCAGTCTTTAAACAGTGCGATCTGTCAGAAAAAAGGTCTAAAGGATTTAACTGAATGATACTGCAAAGGAAAAAATTAGTACCAGCTCTTAACCTCGCATTTGTAAATAACACCACTGGTGGTACACCTTGACATTTTGGATACCAGTGAAAAAAGCGTTTCTGAAAAATTTAATTGTTCAGCTAAATTTGTATAAATTCCAAGTACAACCTTACAGTTTCTCCATCACCCTTTTTCGTCTACACGTAAAACACTTATAACACAATCTTTTAAATTAAATTCGAAATGAATTCATCCCTTACCTTGCTGTTTTTCTTCTTTCTCTTTAGCAATGAGTCGATCCAGTATCTTGTCATCAGCTGTTATGAATTAATAAAATGTTGAAGCTGAAGACTCATCGTTCAAAATATAAAAACTTTATATAACTGACACTCCATAAAGAATGAATTAAACTTTAGATTTTGAAATATCATCATTTATAGTTAAATAAGAAGAAATTAATTGCAAAAAAACCAAAAAAACTTGATAAATTGGAATATTGCATGAAATGTTGTTTACCATCGACATATCCTGATTTTTCTTCATCGATTAGTTTCCTGATCATTTTCATTGCTGTTTCCTCAGGCCCTTTTCAAAGTCAAACAAATTGATGTTGATTTAATGATATATAAAGATAATAACAGTTTCTTGCTCAGATTTGATGTAAAGGAAATATTATCATGATCATGATAGGTACAATTGATATTCCATAATCGAAATTTATACGTTTCAGGCACCTTAAACAAAAGTACAGAAAAATTCGTTAAAAATGTCATAATGGCGTTTACGGTAAAAGGTTGACAATGTGTCACTAATGTTCGCAGTAAATGTTTTGGCAACTGATACTGAATCCAAGGAAGCACCTTCCACCGACAATGTCCCTGTCTAGTAGCCAAAAAGTTTATTCTGGACTGATCCTTGTTGGTTGAGAATCTCTTCGAGCTACTTTTATTAGAGAGTTTCCATCAACTTACAATAAACAACGTTTTTGCGTTTTGAAGGTGAAGATGAACTCAATCTATCGTTTTATAGATAAGCTTTTAAGTGTTGCTCCTGTTTGAGCCATAATTAATCAATAAAGATATGGCATGCTTTCTTAAAGATTTTTAACTGTAGGATTTTGCATGCAAATGACATTAGCCCCTCCACAGGGCCGCTGAGGGCGAGTCCGGACCCAGGGGCAACCAATGAGTAGAGGCCCCTTGCTTAGCAACGAACATAGATTCCAGAATATTACAGTTAATAAAGATTCCATCACTACGGGCCCAAAATGTGCCCGGGTCCCAAGACACTTGCCCCGGCTATCCCCTTTCTGTTGGCGGTCCTGCCCCTTTCGTCTGCAACACCTTCTGGGTATTGGTTGTTCTCTTATTACCGTCCCCTGCACTACAGCTTCTTCCTACCTGCATCCTTTGTAAAATGTTTCAAAGACTCTTGAAGATCATGCTGGATTAAGTCGCTCAGAACCACTTCGTACTGGTTATCTGTTAGGGTGTAAATGAATAGATTGTAAGCCTTGGATGAATTATTGTAAGAATAATTTGGGTACTGCAAGATTGTAAGGTAACACAGAAAAGCGGGATAGCGTACTCGATTAAGTAATTTACGACAAAACGTATTGACGTATGTTTTTTCCAGCTTTTCTGGGCCATCTAAAGGATATGTTGAGAATTAGATTTGAAAGTAAAGGCTGGTTATAAAGTTATTTACCTGTTGTGGCAAATTTTACTAAGAAGCCATTTTTGTTCTTCATTTTTTTTCATCGTATACAGTTTTAAAGAATCAGTGTTGTAATAATGAAAAATAGCTTGAGACTAAATTTCTTTAGTAACATTGTAAGCTCTTTAATCTAGGGCTATGTTCAGTGACAGATGATATTTTGATAAAGTACCAGGGTGAATCTTTGCTGTTTAAGTACTAGAGCTAAAGGTACTTTGTTCACCCCCTCCCATTCCTGGTAATTGAAGTGTTTGTAGAAGTATCAGGGCCGTAAGAAGCGGAGAGGGGGGGGCTGGGAGGAGCTGCAAGGAGCTGCAAGGAGCTGCAAGGAGCTGCAAGGAGCTGCAAGGAGCTGCAAGGAGCTGCAAGGAGCTGCAAGGAGCTGCAAGGAGCTGCAAGGGGCTGGAACTCCCAATTATTATCGAATTATACTATATTTCCTTCATAACAGTGTATTGAATGGGAAGCAATACAATGGGCAGCCTCTCAATATGAATCTTTCCGACAGTACTGAATATTTTAACAATCTATCCCCCAGCCTTTTGGAGAGGTTTTTTTTCTATTTTGTCAGTCAAAGTACAAATTTGGATTTATCATTGCAAATATACCTTTGTATACAGTTTTCTTCGCTGCCACTGTTTTCTCCATCGACTTGAGCTCTGGAAAAATATGTTCTTTCACTCTCATACAAAGATCATAATTCTTAAGAAGATTCATAGGACGATATTGAAGTAAACGCCACAAATACAATTCGTACATGCTACGTACCTAAGGATTGAATTAAACATTAAACAAATTATTTGTTTTGAATTCATCCGGGTTAATAAATTTTAGAATTCTTCTCTAGAAAGGAGCAGTCCGGTTTCAGACATCTTGATAGGTTTTGACTATGCCATTACCAACAATTGCTCAGCATTTTATGCAACGCCAGATTTTGTCCATATTGCCCTTGATAACGTATTGATTGTTTTATTCTGATATCATACACTTCTACATCGTCTTTATCTATTTAGTTTTGCCATTGTAACAGGACATAACTAGATACTAGTCTTACAAACTGAATCAAAATTGGAGAAGATTTTGCAGAAATGTAAAATTTTAGAAACGAAGACGAAAATCCTCCTTTTTCCTTGATTCAAAAAGCGTCTCCAGATTTCCAAAAGAAAAAATAAAAGGCCATTATCCAATAGTCGATCGTTTCAATATTTGTTTTTTCAAAACGTGTCGCTCCTGCTAACTAGGGATTCTTATAAGCTTTTGTTCTTTCATTAACTGACAGGGACACTGAAATCGGTGCTGGTATTCTGTGGAGGCATTAGCTCCCCAATAACTTATAAGTATTAATAATATTTTTTGACCATTCTTTGGCTTATTCTTGCCTTTAGTTTTTACATAATAATAGAATGTCATTCGCGAATCCGTAATGCAATCTGGTCTCCCTGTCCCTGTCAAGTTACGTAATAAGCAATTAGTTGTTCCTTTCATAACGTTGTCGTCATTCGACAAGTCCTCTACCCGACCCACGTGCTATTGTATAATGGTGTAATACAATGAAATAACACGATGGCGTAACACGATGGCGTAACACGATGGCTTAACACGATATCATGAAACGATGACATAGCATGATGATATAACATAGTGACATAAAATGATGAAAGGCAATGGTGGCCGTGAATAGGATCCCTGGCTTTCAGCTGGTCACGATTTCTATTTTAACAAACAATAGTGAATCAATGTTCTGCTGCAAGTGAAAACACTTTGCTCCCCAAATAACATTAAACTAATAATGTTTTTAGGTTAGGTAATGATGTTAAGTAGTGGTCTGAGGTGGCTGTTTTCTGAATTCAGGCATTCTTTTATAAACCAATTCAATTAAAACACAGACATATTACATAAGTTTGCTTTAAAACAATATCGACTTTACAACTCAGATACGACGAATGACAACACTCGGGATGAAGCAAGCCGAGTATTTATGAAAAATTTACAGAATTGAAAATTAAGCCAGCGAGCATAGGACAATTATTACTGAAATTTTCCCTGCTTCATCACCGGTGCAGTCATTTACAATTTAAAAATTACAAGAAGAAAAAGAAAAATATCTTCAACATAATATAAAGTATTGACAAATTTTCGACATTAGAAAATACAGGACGATACCACAAAGGCTGTGTACATGCACATTTCCCTTATAACCAAACAGGAAAAGAACAACAAAAAATAATAAAAGGGGGAAAAAGGAAAAAGATAAGAAAGAGAGGAAGGTGGAATTTAGACTAAGCTCAAGCTTGTCTTTTTTCAATCCTAGAAACCTGGAGCTGAAGTAGAGCCACGTATAGAAAGTCCACATCAAAAGAGTTGGTACTAGGATGCCTATCATCTGGGTACGAAATTGTAAGTGGCCAAGGTATATGCTATCTTCTTATTCTTAATATATTGGTTTTGAAAACTGCGTTTCTTATAAGATCGTGTATGTGTGTCGATTCAAGATGCCTTTGAATTAATTCTGAATGCTGTCAGGAATTAAGGATTAAAGGTTTATTTCAAACATCTAGTGTGGCTAAATCTACTAGAATTCAGAGGTATCATAAAACATGAAAATCAGTTGTGTGTAATGCATTAGGGGTCATATTCTAAAACACCCTATGCAGTGGCGGATCCAGGGGGGTGCAAAGGGTGCTTGAGCACCGGTCAGATTTTCAAAGTACTGTTTCTTGTACCTGTTCCTGTGCGTGTTTCCGAAAAAAGCTAAAGACTTCTACTGATTCTATGTTTTCATCTATTTTGCATGAAAAATATCTATTATCTGAAGAATTTTCTTTTGTCGCGTTAATGTTTGCAACCGTGGCATTTTCACCGGAACGAAATTCTGGTAGAATGCAAGTGCTGACCAATTAGATTGCGGATGACAAAATCATCCTCCAATGAAATCCAATTATTCCATGCTATTCCGAGCACCGGTGGGTTCGTAAATTAGAATTGTCACGAACAGAGCTAGCCAATTAACTTTTTTCTCACCGGTGCTCAGATCCAGCATTATCCAATCATTTGCTTTTCACCGGTGCTCAACGTCATCTGAGCACCGGTCAAGACGAAATAGCCAATAAAAATTCAGGGAAATTGATGGATAGGGAACTGGCATAGGCTTTTGGGATTTGCGGCAACTCTCGTTGGTTTTACGGGGTGCATGAACAGAAACGTTGCTTTAATATTTATGGCAAAAGAAAAGCCTGGTCAAAGAAATGATAGAGAAGGGACATTGAGGATGTTTTCGAGTTTTATTGGGATGACAATAGCGCCGACTCGTTCACTGATTCACAGCTCTTCTCCGGAAGTGTAGCAAAGCTACGGCCTAAGATACCTATCTATCAGGTAAGTGGTAACACACAATCGTTGTGAAAAATTGCAAAACATCAGAAAATATTACATGCATCTGGTTGAGGGTGACATGCTAGGTTGCGTTTTATTAGCCATGTTATTAGTTGATTTGAGTTTTGCAAATGTGAATCAATGTTGTTTGTTTGCAATGTGATACTATAACAAAGCGTTAATTGAAGTGTTGAGATATTCGCATTGTTTTTTACGCGAGTAATGGCATCGCAGCCCCCTTTGTGATTTTTCTAAAGGAAGAATAGTTCAAAGAGGCGTGTAAATGCCTGTCAAAGTTCTTGGAACATCAACAAAATTTTTAACATAATATATAAACACAATTCCAAGCTGCAAAAGATAGCTTTCAACCAGAGTAATGAATTTCGTAAAACATTTTCTAAATTTTCATGAAATACATTGCCTTATTTAGTACAATACTTTCCTTGCTTTCATAGCCACTCTTATTTACCGTATTTTATCATATTTTTGGCCCCATTAGATGGTGGGGCTTATTGAGAAAAAGATAAAAATCCACCAATAAAAAATTGGGGTTTGGAATTTAAACAATGATTGTTTTTAGAAAAATCAATCACACCTGTTATGGGCATAATAATTACAAGATTTCAATTTCATCCGAGTCAAAATCCTAGTAGATTTGCTGAAAATACTGGTGTGGCATCTTCAGTATTTAAATTATCAATACCTTCAAATGTATTTTTATGTAATTCTGTCAGTAGTTGCAGAAGATTTTCCAAGTTGAAACAGCATAGGTTTTATTCAATATATTTAAACCAACTACTATTGTAAAGATTTGCTTGTCTCTATATGTTTTCAAAATATTTAGGGGGCGCTCATTGGAGAGTGGTTCTTGATTAGAGAAATTGTGCTCAAAAGGGGGGTGTGCATTGGAGAGGGACGCTCATTGGAAAAAATACGCTACTTAACATCGCCACCGAAAATGGGCGTGGTCAATTTTTGGGTGTGGTCCCCTAAACTGAGCACCAGTCAAAAAATTTCCTGGATCCGCCCCTGCTATGAGGTTTAATTCGAGAGCTATGGCTACTTTCAAGAGAAATCGTTTAGAGTAAAATGGGTAAATAGAAAGGGGCCTTGTTCAAAATATGCTTGCTAAATCGTCGCTTTACAGTTAATTAGTTTTTCATAATCCCTTGGATTATCTAAATCTATTCGATGTAGTTTTTCTAAACGGTCATATTTGATGACATCACTGCATCTATTTTGGTACGCGTAGCAAGAAAGTCTGTTTCCAGCTTGCAATTTGATGTCATGTCAATAAATCAGAAGCTCCTTAAAACACCAAAGAGTCGAGCAATTATTTGGCAACCAATTAGTGCACTGAGATCCTGTTTAACAGATATTAGACGCAAACATGATTAATTTTTTGGATTTTAGACTTGGTAGGACAAATGTTCTGTTCAAAATCCAGACAAGAGTCTCATGCCGAGTGTTGGGTCTCAGCCCAATGACTTGCATTAAATCTTTGCATTAAGCAAAGATGATCGCGATCAGAGTGATTAAAATGGACCATGACAGACATCACCAAATTAAAACGAGATTAAAACTCTTAGAACAAAAATGTTTCATATTTGGTGGCGAGTTATAAGATATACAAGAGGGTGCAGAACAATTTGCAACAGGAAATGAAGAGTGGGCTTACTTCAAAGTGACCCATTCAATTTAAAAAGGAAGACGTGTTTTCTCTATTTAAATGCTCAATCATTTATACATCTAGTTTTGTATTTGAAATACCAATGCATTCAGCTAATCTTTTAAAATATTCTTTTGCCAACATCTCAAGGATGTGACCATTAAAAAGTCTAAATAGATAAGTTGAGAAAAATAATACGATTTCAGCAGAGAACGGCTCTTGTTGTGAACGAGCATCCTGAGGTGAGGAGGCTTAATACGTTTTTTTACCCAAGATTTTTTTACCAAAGCATTTCTGAAGACAGGCTTCAGAACGACATGAGAAAAGATGGTGGCTCTTAGCTCACTCCTAATCTTGCCCCCTTCAAATGTTTAATATTACAGTTACTCTTCTCCGGTTTAGAAAGCTTACTCTTTCGCATTTGCAATCACAAAAGTAAGCTTTACATTTCCAAGCACACCTTGTCACGTATTCTCTGCCTTTGTTGGGTACAGGATCTTTATAAATAAATTCCTTTATTGACAGGGAAACTCATTTTGGTCTATATATTTATTAATAAAGTTGTATAAGGGTATCACTGAACGATGCAAGACTATGCACTGTAATGCTTCATTCAAAGCAACAGATAACACTACTGGCACCCATTTCATCTCCATTAACTTATCAATCATCGATCATTTGCCTAAACCAGGGGTCGGCAACCCGCGGCCCGCAAGGTACATTTGTGTGGCCCGGAAGGTCCCCGTTAACCTGTAAATAATGTGGCCCAATGCATGAGTGTCAACTCGATATTGATTCAGTGATCCTAAATTTTTGTCTAGATTAGCATTCCTCGTTAATATTACTAGTCACTAGAACAAGCTGAACAAGAAGCTTGAAGGCCATGGTCAATTTGTGAATGTCGTGTATGAACATGTTATCACGTTCCTGCTTATGCTAAATCTTTGGAATACTCAGCTGAATCAATGGTGCTTGGTTCACTTTCCATCTTCAAATGGAGTTGATCGAGCTGCAGGGTACCAATGAATTGAAACAGAATTACAAGGAAACTCATAGCATCCAGTTTTATATGGAGTATCTCCATGGTGGATGATGGCTCATATCCAGGTCTGGTGCAGCAAGCCAAGAAGATGTGTTGCATGTTTGGCAGTACTTACCTTTGCGAAAGTCTCTTCTCAAAGATCAAGTATGCGAAGACTGCGATCTCGAATGACTGATTAGCACCTTGAAGGCAACTTGCGGCTGCCAACATCAACAATTTTGCCAAATATTGAGAAGTTGGCCAAGAACACGCAGCACCAAGTTGCGCATCAGATTCTTGTAACATAACATACTTAACAGTGAACATGTACTTTACATCTATCTTTGTATATACGTACAGCTTCCAAGTTACAGTACATTTACCGATAAATACATTTTTATTGACTAGATTAGTAGTTAGGTAGAATTGGTATATATTAAAATTATCCTGTATTTTGAGTTGCGGCCCTCGTATGCATTTCAGAAATCAAATTTGACCCCCTCTTTTATAAAGGTTGCCGACCCCTGGCCTAAACAATCAAATTCTACCAAAGAGTAAAAGGCTAGTGGTCACTCGAATATAGATAATCTGCTCGTCTTGATCTAAACAATTCACACTGTTCGAGGAAAGTCCATAACTCTAGTCTTCTAGGGACAGACAAAGTTTTGTGAATCATCCAAAATTGGAAACATAAAAAGCGGTACTAATTAGGAATAATTGTGAAATGAAAAATGTTTTGTTTGAAGTAGCAAAATTCAGAATAATCAAGAAGTGAAAATGGACTTGGAGGATGTCTATGCGTCATTCAAGTTGCCTCTGAGACATCTTTGTCATCTGTTTGTTTTTGTACCGAATAAACTGGACATTTTTTTGGTCAAAAGTTTAACCGTATTATTTAAAACATTTTGACTTAAATGATTGTTCCTTAGTGACATCAAATTCATTCTTTTTACACACATAATCACTTCGCAATGCTTATTGATTAGAAAACAAACTATTAAAGGTCCATTTGGAAGACCTGTTTGCAAGTCTGAGTCATTTAAATGTTTCTATATATTTTTGAACAGCAGTTGAAATTATCTTGTCCCCGATTCTTCATACATACACGCATATGTGAATTAGTACTACAAAAGAATTTGGATGGGGATATACTCAAAGGTGGAGATAGATAAAAACACTGCCTAGAAATATAAAAATGGTTCGTTAATATAAAAAGGCATGAAAATATAATCGGTTTTTTGTACAATTATTGATAATAACTTTCCTATAGAGATAAAAATGTTACCAGATTTCTCACAGAACGCAACAGATTACAAAATGATTGACAACACAAAATGTATACATATATATTAAACATAATTAAATTTTTATTTCACAAGAAGTAGTAATGCTATAAAGAAAAATGTCATAGAAAGACAATGACAACGACAACTTATTATTTTCCCGGAATGCTCTTCATCATTTCAACGAGGAATCGTCAGCCTTTTCCCTGTATTTCGATAAAATGATGATTTTTCGAATTCTCATCACAGATCAAGATGGAAAACAGCATAAAACACAGCGTCGTGTAAGATGGTGAAATATTGTTATGAGACAAGAAATACAAATTTTCTTCAGCCTGGCTTGTTGATAGTGCTCATGACGATGTTTGATTCACTTTGACTGGCATGGGAGCTCGAAACGGCATCCCAAAGTCAGATGGTTCACTTATTGCTCTTACTTTTTCGCATTCCCCCCAAATTTTCTCATTTTTCTGCTAAAAATCAATTAATAACAACAAACAGCTAGCAACGAGGAAAGAACATTCGAAGTTCCAAGGAGCAGCTGCTGTGACAATTTGGGACATAAAAACCCACATTTGAATGAAAGAGCCTATATATAATCTAAAAATTTTCACTAAACTTTACATCAGGACACCTCAAAGACAAATTTTCTATGCGGCGAAAGCAGGTTCATTTTGTTAAACACGCGCGCTTTCATATCTTCGGTCCATATGACTTTTCTTCTTGTGTATGTCTCATTGTGATAAGTTTTCTTCGCGAAACTTTTTACGTATTTTCTGCTGCAAGTTAATTGAAAGAATTTACAGAGCTTCTTTGCTATTTGTTTTGGTTCTTTTACCAGCTTGGAATACTCAATATCGACCACATCTTCAACTCGCTTGGCTTTTATTGCCTCAAGGCGCTTTACCCTGTTGAGGTATCTGTTCACGCACCTCCGCAACTCCTTCTGATCGTTCAGCGGCTGGAATAGACAGTGGTATTAACTTAGCATGAAAAAAACAACAGAATATCAATTAACTAGCTAGCAACTTCAAAAGCATATCAATTAATGCAGCCAGCAACAATAAAATTCCAAAAGCAAAATTCATAGAAAACGTCTTTTTAATATAACAATTACTTGACAAGGTACGTGGATTGCTGGCGAGGTCGAAGATACACAAAAACATTTGCCTGCCATTTCTATTTCTATCTAACGCTCAAATCATTTATTTAAACCTCAGATAAATAGTTGGGGCATGGAGACAAACGTTGAAGATACTGTTGCTCAAACTCTACATTAACGCTAAGCAAGACAAAAATAGATTTGAATGGATTTTGGGAATTTATCCCACAATTGCTGTCCAAAGGTTGCTAGTTCGAATAAATGTTTTTACCTATCGCCTTTAATAAGTACGAAGACAAATAGTTTAAGTGGCAAAACAATTAGGAAGGTAGCCTGCGTGTAAACTTTACTTTCCGTTGCGAATTCGCAGGCTTTATAAGTTCCGTATTGGCTCTCCTTCGCAACAGAAAGTAAAGTCTGCACGCAGGCTACTGGAAAGGCAAGCGAAATTGGCTGCCAGCAAAGGAAAAGGTTTAATAAATCATTGGGAGGAGGCTTTGGCTTCCTGATACTTTGCCCCTAACCCTGCTAAGAAAGGGTTGTTGATAGCACGAAAATCCACATGGGAATCGAATGTAGATTTTGAAATACCATACCTTGAAATGTGAGGAGGTAGCTTGACTTCTCGCATTTTTGTGCTGCAAAAGCATCGTTGCTATGGTGTCAAATGGGTTCCTGTGGATGTGTACGAATTTAATGGGGACTTTTACGATTCTACCCAACTCGTTCAGCCGTTGATCACCTTCTTCATCTGAAAAAGTTCGGACACTCTGTACAGCCTTTTTGTCCCCGATCACCTAGAGTACAGAACAAGAAAAAACGGAAGTTTAGAAAATCGTAATGAAACTCCTTGGTACAAATCTTTACAGGGTAAAATTTGCATCAATGAGAAAAGAGACATTCAAAAAAATTAGAACAGGAGACGTATCCCAAAACCCCTCGAAAAACTTCCTTCCTTAATTCAACATTCTTAATTATGTTTATCAAAGGTTTATGAGTAAGAACCACCATTTCGGGTAGGCCATTACTAGATTCAATGATCTATCGGTTTCTTTATCAATCTATGACCAATTTGCAGGGCTGCACAAGAGTCTTGAAGTTGATAACAGATAGTAAAAACGTCACCTGTATTGAGCAATTGTATTTTCCTTGCCACTGTTTCGGTACGTGATAGTTGTAAACCCCCCTGTAAGTTGAAGATCGATAACTTTTCGTTGCGTACCACTGCGAGTTATTGTACAGCTGATTGAATAAATAATTCCTGTTCTTTTTTGCAGCAGTGAATGTACTCAGCTTATCTCCTACGCCGTATTCATTTGCAACGATAACATTTGGATGGGCATCAAGTAGGGAACCAAGTAAAGTGCTTCCACTTCTAGAGTAGCCAATGAACAAGACAAAAAACTTCACTTGGCTGTATCTGTCTCCATCATCAACACATTTTGATTGTTCACCTGGAACTAAACAACAATGCTGGGTAAGCAAAAATTTTCCTTTAAGGCAGGGTTTTCCAACTAACTTTCTGGGTTGGGACTTACGCGATAAGCTTACGTCACTGGCTATATATCACAGACATAACCTTACGTCACAGGCAGGCCACATGGAAAATTACGAAAATTATCGGCAAATTTTGAAGTGAAAAGTAAATTGATCACATGAAAATCTATATGAAAAGTTATATACTCAGTTTTAAGAAAAATTATAAATACAAAATGTTACATTTTCTGTTTTCAGAAAGTTAATACACCAATTCGACTTACGACCTCGTTTTGGAAATTTCTCCAAACTTAATTATACGACTTTTTTAAGCTCATATTTGGTTTTAGATTAAATCAGTTTCAGGGGCGTCGTGGCCGGGGGGCAGAGGGGACTGTGGCCCCCTCCACTCTCAAAATTTGACAGATTTTCGTAAAAATCATTGTTATTTCGGAAAATTTTCAAGCTTGAGCTGTGGTCAAAAATGAAAGGTGGAACGAACCTTATAGGGTTGAACGAAAAGATTTATAGAGTTGCGAGATATCAGGGACTTTCACAGTAAATGTGAACAAATAGAGACAAGATAAAAATGCATTTCAAATATCTTTTTTAAGTTAAGGCAAAATAAATTAAAGAAACTTTATCGGAAAATTTTTCTTTCTTGCCCCCTTTAGAATTCATTCACCAGGACGCCCCTGATCAGTTTGCCTAATGATCAATAGAATGCCTGATAGTTTTTATAATAATTTTGCCTGGAATGTTACTACATAGACATAACGCAAGGTTCAAATTATTAAAAAATTATTGCCTTACCAATTCATTCGCGGGCTGTATGTTGGACAACCCCATTCCCTGCTCTAAGGGCTCACTATTTGTCTTGTTATAAAGAACCATTCCTTACCACCTAAATTCCATATTAATTTCAATATTTTTCGAAGAACAGATTTTATAAAAACACGAGCCTTAAAAATTCTAAAAAGGTAAATAAAAGGGCAAGCGTGTGCTGGGGTACTGTAAAGTGTAATTTTTGAACAAAGTTGCGAGCTCCCTAAATATCCCATCTAGGTAGCTTTTTGACATAAAAAGGAGATTTTTCAGTGAATTTTCAAACTACATGACCTCAAAGGGGACGAATTTTAGATGCAATTGGGCTGATATATTTTAATCCATGTTGTCAAGAAATAAAATTCTGCCGTCAGCAGGCATTAGGTGCAGTGGCTGTGTGTGGAAACCACAAATCTTTAGGCGTTGGGTATTCATAAAACAAAAACTTTTGACCACACACTTTTAATATCAGAAAAAGCTCACTTCATCTTTATAGAAATCATGTAAGTTACAAGTAACGTCTATCATTTTTTAAAATTGTGCTATAAAAAGGAGAGTTGCGTTTCCCTTGTCAACAACTATTGTACCTTTTTGCTAAAACTAGCAATGAAATAAGAAATGAGTGCGCACGCAAAGAACCAGAGATAGGGTAGTTAATAAGAGTGAGGAGAATGAAACGTTTTCTTTCCAAGTCTTGGCAATACTGTACTGATGAATTTTGAAAATAGTACCAGGCAGCACCCAGGCAGCATCAGTACCTGCCCAAGAGGCCTACTTAACACTCCAAAACATTTGGACTCAGGGTTTTTCGGGGAAAACAGATAAAAATTTTCCTTCAAAAGAACATGAGCTGTAAAGGCCTTGCAATTTGTATTTAATGCCACTAAAAATAACAAAATAACCACAATTTACATCAATATTGATGATAACTAGTTACAATATATCTTGCTAGCTGAAAAAATTGAAATCCTTAAACTTAAGTGGCAGGTATAGTATCAAAAGATTGAAGAGCTTTGATTTCAAATTGATATAGTAAATCAAATTTGTTGGATTTGATTGAAAGGTATAAAAATTATTTTCCCTTGCTTGTAGTGCAGAGATAATTTATTCCAAGGAAAGACAGTAACCCCTTAAGGATAATGTTTTCATTCCATATGATTCAATGAAAGAGACACCATGGCAGTTTTCTCCCCTAACCAGGATGCTTAAAGTACAAAGTTGAATGTCTTCCTAACTACAGATTTATTAAATAAATAACAAATCTGGTGAAGTTAAATAAGAAATACCAACAAATGCAAGAGGCTCTCAGGGGTGCAAATTAGGGAGTATAGAATATCTTGGCATATGTTCTAACAAATTTTTCTTACACTTTCATTATGTTTATAGACTTGATTGGTTTTTGAACAGCTGGTTCATTTTGTATGCAACTCCATCGAACTTGTCCTGACGCCCTGTCAAAAAAGGTTTAATTTGCATCCTTGTAGCTCTTGCTGTAATAAGATGTCATTAAATTTCATCCCTTGTACATAGGTTCTAAAAACATTTCACCCGGTAGCAATGCCAGCAGTTAAGTCACCAACTCAATTCAATAAAAGAGATCCTAAGTTGTGAGAGAATTTTCAATCATCTAAATTTCCATTCTTTCCTGCTTCTTTTCTTGATAAACAGAAATTGAGCAAATGATAAATTCTGATCAGATGAACAATACCAAATCACCTTTCAACACCAAAGGGAGCTACAGACAGAGTATTCACAACAACTTTAACCATGCTCAGTACCATGACCATGAAAAAAGTTGTGCACTGGTACTGTCGGAATAAATAGGCAGTTACTGTTTTATGTGAACCAGGCTTAACTACATTAGAATTTGCTACAAATTATATTTGCTAGTTAACCCAGACTCCATGCTTTGGTCCCTTCAAAGGGTTGAATAAAAACAATAATATTTCATGGTAAATGATCATAATGTTTTGTCTAAAACATAAATAATTCTTTGAAAAAGAGCATGGGCCCCTCCAAAAACATTACAAATTACAAGAGGTATTTTTCAGCATTAACAAGGGAGGCTTAGCCTTTCTGATCCCTTAGCTTTTCAACACATTCAAACATCATGTGTGTATCATTAGATTCACATTTGTAGAAAACTTTTGCTCTTATCATTCACATAAACACAATTTTGATATCAATCAATTTGTGGTGCCAAACAATTTTCCATGCGTTTGATAGACTATTTAATCTTGAATTATACAACTCAATTTATTTAACTTATTCAAGTTTAATAAATTGAATAAAGTTGAATAAATAGAGTTGTGTCTCCAGTAGCTATTATTATGTACATAAATGTAGTTCAACTATAGCTCGACTTTTTAAAAACCATCTAAAAATTATGTTTTTATCACATTCCTAACTACAGAGCAGATGCATTTTTCTTAAAAAGCTGCCATTTTCCAGAAAATTTCAGGTTTCTTCTGCTTTAATTTTGATTGACAATGAAAACGTATGCTAGGACGCTTCAATTAAAAAGGACGCCTACAATTACAACTAGGCCCAATGCCAATGCTCCTTAAATTTCATCACTTTATATCATCTCTTGTGTCACTATTTTGTTTACTCTGAAGTGACAAATATATCACCCGTATTCACTAAAACCATACGATATCAAAACGAAATTATCAATGTTTTGGTGCAAGAACATAGATTTTTCACTAATTACCTCCATTTGGCTGCACTTTCATAGTAGACGTGCCCTCGTGTTTTTTCTTAGTGCTTGCCGAAACAATTTTTGGGTTTTTAACAACTATTGAAGTGTGATACCACACTGAAAACTCATTCAAATACATAAATCCAATTAGTGTAAGAACGACCAGAGCACACGTTATAATTGCATACAATTTCTTCATGTTGGTGAAATGTTCCCTCTCTCCTCCATAGTGCAAGCTGCTAGTCTGGGCTGTTAGAACATGAATTGTGCAAATTGTGATACCAGCATGAAAATGGGTACACTGGGGTAATTTTACACGCTGATAACGATGCTGAACAGAAACAAGCCGAAAAATGCCCCCAAGTGCAATTTTTAGACTGGGGTACTTGGCCCCAGTCCTCGAATTGGGCCAATCTCCAGATGCATTATCATATATTAAAATATATCACGAGAAAAGGAAATAAAAAATTGCCACTTGATGCTATTTTTAGAATATGATATTGGTACCCATGTCTCTTTTTAGGCATTCTTCTCTAAATAATTTCTCTCTTTTATATGAATATGAAATGTAGCTTTCTCTATTCTTTCAACAAACTGAAAAGTTATACGAAAAGATGTAATTGACAATCTTACCCCTTGATGCTATTTTTAGAATAGGGTACTGGAACCCAGTTCTCGAATTTGGGTTTTACCTTCATAGTCTAGGCTTTAAGCACAATATTTGACTTGAATTGTTCAAATTGTGGTACCAGCATGAAAATGGGTGCGCTGGGGCAATTAAACACGTTGTTAATGATGCTTGACAGACACAAGCTTAAAAACGCCCCAAAGTGCTATTTTTAGACTGGGGTACTTGACCCAAGTCCTCTATTTCGGATTTCATCCATATACGTAGTTAACTAACGTTTAAAATGACCATGAAGGTGAAGCTTTAAACATAATTCTACACAATAAAAGTATAACACAGAAGCAATTAAAATATTACCCTTGATGCTATTTTTTAAGTGGACTACTGGAGCCCAGGCCTCTATAAGCTTTCTTTTATAAATCATTACTATTTTTGGTATGAATGTGAAATAAAGTGAAGATTAAATCTCTTGATTGCTACTACTCCTCTCAGAGGCCTTCAAGAGAAGCATAGAAGAACTACCTTTTGAAGGTTGGAAAGCACAGAGGCTAGAAGAATCAGTGCAATTATATTATTGGTTTACTGTAATGGAGTTAGAGTCAATGCTATTGTTGCTAGTTAAAGCAACAAGGGAGTCAAATCACCGCGTGTTTCCAAGTGCTCTTAGTCAGATTGCACCTTGGATGTTTAGCCTTTATCATATAAACTACTCGCGCTGGCTGCCGATTTAACATCAATCGTATCTAAAAGTAGCCTATAATTATAACGATTTTCACTTTTAATGATGCCGAACAGATTCAAGCCGAAAACTGCCCCAAGTGTTTTTTAGACTGGGGTTTTTTAGACCCAATTCCTCAATTTTGGATTCATCCATACGTAAGTTTTAACATAATTCAATACGGTAAAAATATAACAAAGAAACAATATTATCTTTTGATTCAATTTTTAGATAAGGATTCTGGGCTCTAGGCCTCTATGTTAACGCTCTTCTAAAAGCCATTACTTATTTTTGATGTAAACATAATAGTATGGCTGTCTACCTTTTGGTTAACCAAACAGTATTTTTAGAGCAAAGTAGAATATTGCCTCTAGATGCTACAAATGATAGACCAGGTCACTTTTTATACTTTTTTCTATTGTAACCTATTAGTCATTACTGTTTTTAGCATAAAAAGTCTAGCATTCTATACTTTGTGATACACTAAAGTATCACGGAGAGATAAAATTCCGCCTAGATTCTCTTTTCAGAATGGGATACTTTTGTAGATCCAAGCTCATTCGTCTCAGCCAGCGCGAGTAGTTTATATGATAAAGGCTAAACATCCAAGGTGCAATCTGACTAAAGGCACTTGGAAACACGCGGTGATTTGACTCCCTTGTTGCTTTAACTAGCAACAATAGCATTGACTATAACAGTAAACCAATAATAGAATTGCACTGATTCTTCTAGCCTCTGTGCTTTCCAACCTTCAAAAGGTAGTTCTTCTATGCTTCTCTTGAAGGCCTCTGAGAGGAGAAGTAGCAATCCAGAGATTTAATCTTCACTTTATTTCACATTCATACCAAAAATAGTAATGATTTATAAAAGAAAGCTTATAGAGGCCTGGGCTCCAGTAGTCCACTTAAAAAATAGCATCAAGGGTAATATTTTAATTGCTTCTGTGTTATACTTTAATTGTGTAGAATTATGTTTAAAGCTTTACCTTCATGGTCATTTTAAACGTTAGTTAACTACGTATGGATGAAATCCGAAATAGAGGACTTGGGTCAAGTACCCCAGTCTAAAAATAGCACTTTGGGGCGTTTTTAAGCTTGCGTCTGTTAAGCATCATTATCAATGTGCAAGTGCACACAGTAAAATTTGCAATTCTGTCCTCATTTCCCTTTCCGCTTCCTGTTAGGTTTTAATCCCCCGCTTCTTTAATTTATACAATATAAGCACGACATTGTCCATTATAAAGTCATCATCATTTCGATTGACGAGCAAAAATCATCATCAGGTGAAATTGATAAGAGAAATAATGGATAAATAGAGAAAAAAAAGAGTAGAATCGCATAGAGAAGTAGAATTGATATTTAATCTTGAATAAAGTTGAATAAGTTGAGCTTTATCTCTAGTAGCTATTATTTTGTACACAGAAGATGCTGTCTTTCACTGTCCTGCATTATCAAAAAAAAGCATGAGTCGAGATACGATGTAGCGCTTTAAGGCGAAGTGGGAATGTGTGAGAGGATAGAAAACGAATAGATAAATAAGATAAGATAAGATGAGATAGTGAAGAAGATAAGATGAAATGAAAATAACTGGATTAGAAAAGATACGAAATTGTTTGTTAAGTCCATAAGAAATGAAAGTACCAAGTTTGAAAATAATGCGTTTTTCAAGGATATAATTTAAATGTATCCATTGCATTAAACTTTCGCTTCAGACAACCCTTTTTTCCTAAATTTTTGACTTGGCCATTGCCTCTCCATTTATTTCAAACGCCTGTTTTTTCCACGAGGCTAGATTAAATTAGAACACGCTGGCAAATGTAGAGCAAAGACATTTGAAGGTTAATGTCCTAAATATGTAAAATAACCCAAATCGTTACATGAACTTCTTGTGGACAGTGGCTTCCCACAAGGTAGTGTACAAGGACCCCTCTTTATCTTATATTACATAAATTATATTATTGACATTCTCCGAAAACACTCCAATTCCGCTTGTTTGCTGAATATGCACTAAGTTGTTTACCAAAAAAGCTCAGAGAATGTTGAAAAAACACTAAGCCGATAATCAATTGAATTTTCTGACTGGTCATTGGTCAACAGTTCTCTGAACGCATCAAAATCAAGCTTTTTCTTTATAGGCTCAACAACTACCGGCAAAATTAGCAGGATTAAAATATAGATTATTATGCTAAATTTCTTGGAATAACTTTAGATAGTAATAGATTGAATTGAAAACTTGATGATGAAACAAGTAAATGATGAAACAAGTAAATATAAAAATATCTAAAGGAATCAGAATTCATCACAAAGAAAGACGCCCCGTTCTTAAACCCTCCCTAGTATCCCACGCAGTATTTGTTGTAGTTTTGTAATATGTGCTGATGAACACAGTTGAGTAGCACGTATAGTCGTAAAGATTAAAGATAGTTGATTATGAACAATTCGCTATAATCAAATATATTTGATTTAATTAATGTTTGTTGCCTTTCTTTTCTCGGCACGTTGCGGTGTTTTCCTGATTTTTAACATAATATCGTTTGATTCAAGACACCACTATGGTCTTGTCAAGGCACGATGTCAATCGACACCTTGAATTACACTGCGATAATTTGGAGCTTACTGGAAAAACCTGACACTATGATCCAATAACCCCTATGACCCTTAGGGCCATTAACTTGGAAGAAGCAATAAAGTTTTGTACAACATGGATTTGCCGCTCCCCCAGAGCCATGCCTTTTAACGCTATGATGTCGACAGCGTCTCAAAAACTTAAGACTTTGGCTCAATTTTATTTAAAAATAATCTGTCTCGTGTCCTTTTAAAAATAACACTAAAAATTCACTAAAAATCAGACAGATGTCTATGATTTCAGGCATATATATCATAAAAAACAACAAATTCGAAACTTTTTATTTCCATCTTAGAAAACGTTGAAAAACGTCGTGTCCATCATAGATTACTCTATTCAAACACAATGTTTCCATAAGGATTAAAATCAGGCAACATCACTATACATTCCATCTCTTTACGTTAAAACAGCAAATCACAATTGTAACAATGAATTATGGATGAACAATAATTTTACTTTTATTATTATTATTATTATTAATGATAGAATTAGTAAATGTACTTCTTATAGTCTGGGCTGTTAGAACATGAATCATGCAAATTGTGATACCAGCATGAAAATGGGTACACTTGGGTAATTTTACACGCTGATAACGATGCCGAATAGACACAAGCCGAAAAATGCCCCCAAGTGCTATTTTTAGACTGGGTTACTTGGCCCCAGTCCTCGAATTGGGCCAACCTCCAGATGTCATTACTGATTTGTAAAAAAAGTTCAAAAGGAAAGATTTAGGTGCATTATCATATATTAAAATATATTAAGATAAAAGGAAATTATAAAATTGCCCCTTGATGCTATTTTTAGAATATGATATTGGTACCCATGTCTCTTTTTAGGCATTCTTCTCTAAATAATTTCTCTCTTTTATATGAATATGAAATGTAGCTTTCTCTATTCTTTCAACAAACTGGAAAGTTATACGAAAAGATGTAATTGACAATCTTACCCCTTGATGCTATTTTTAGAATGGAGTACTGAAACCCAGTACTCGAATGTGGGTTTTACCTTCATAGTCTAGGCTTTAAGCACAGTACTTGACTTGAATTGTGCAAATTGTGGTACCAGCATGAAAATGGGTTCACTGGGGCAATTTAACACGTTGTTAATGATGCTTAACAGACACAAGTGAATATTAAATTTCCCCTCCGAATGTTCCAGTTTGAAAATGCAGAAGGGTACTTAGCATTTCTGCCAGTTTGGATAGTCAGCATTTTATACTAATTGTGTGAGACTTTCAGAAGTAGCGAAATGTGAAAGTCACATTTTCCTGTAGATGTGATAATTAGCATTGACCTTCAGAGGCAGGACCTGGTTTAGTTTATGCGTTTATTTGTTAGGAGTTGGGAATTCAAATCCATTTCCAATTCTAAGGACGACGGTCTATGGCCACAATTAGCTGATCTCGTGTGGCTGTGCTTAAATTAACTGTTATTGTGATACCAGAATACAATCCAAATAAATTTCCTCTTTTTCATTAATTCAAGCTTATAATTCTATTCTCTATCATCTTTATAATTGATTCAGATAAATACCCCATTTAATTCAAAGCTTTCAAAAATAAATTTGCCCTAGAAAAAAGTGTACAGAAGAGCATTTGAACCCAACTTGAACAAATGGAGGACAATTCCGTTTGCTCCACAGGTTCTTGAGGTAAGTGAACATATTTATTGGTTGAGTTCTTCAACTAATTAGCATACTGTACAGAGTGACTTTATGACATATATTATTAAAAACTTTAGTTCGACGAAACGTGATATATTCTAGATCTCTATGACCTTAACTCATACAGGATATTTTTACAAAGCCACTTAGAGTGACTATCAAAATAGTTCATTTTAACACTGAATGGCCGATAGATTTTCCTAAACCATTGACAAAGATTCTTGGTGTGAACAAGAAACTAAATTGGCAAATAGCACTTTCCCTTTGACAAAAATTATAAGATCCTTAATTTCTGTAAATTTTCCTACTCCAAACACATATTATTTGTCAATCAGATTACTGAAGTGGGCAACGACCTGCCCCCACATGCTAATAAGGCTATACCAGTTCTAATAAGGTTATATTATTCTGCTTATTTAATGATTGATTTTCCATCGTATCTCTTTGGATCATCCATATCCAAAACTTTATTTGCTGACTCAACTGGCAATGCTTTTTTTGCCGAACTTTCAAAACGAGTGTAACTTCCTTTTGTACTTTTCAACAACGGTGATGTCTTAACCTTGTTCTGCGTATGAGTTTTAGTGAGCGCTTCTTTCCTTTTCTTGCTTATCACCCCCGTTATCGCTGTCGTTTTTAATATTACTTCTTCAGTAGTTAGTTCAGGTCGATTATCATTCGGCAGGGTGGTTACTACACTTTCTAATTCATTCATATGTTTAGCAAGTGTTGTCAATTTTTTCTTTCGGATGACTTCCAATGTCTGAGAGTTTGTAGGTCTTACTTTGTTACTGAGTGTGACACTTTTACTGGTTGTTGGGTTTATTTCATTCTCTTTTAACTTATCAGAATTTTCATTCTTTGAATCTACGCTCTTCAGCCTTGTACTTTGTACTTTTTCATCTTTTGCAACGGTAGCGGTTTCTTTAGTAAGGGCTTTATTTGCATTATCCTTGACAGGCGATTCAACTGTGGCTTGTGTTGGGTTATTCTGCTTTATACTGCTACCATCATTGACATCTGCCTTGCTTTGCTGTACATTTTTAGCAGCTGCCTTTGGTTGCTTCGGAGGTAGGCCATAACTATAAGCATGACCTTCTTCCCCCCACGTGGATCCACTCTCAATATCTACATCTACCTCTTCGAATTGATCGTCAAAATTTTCTATTGTATCCCCTTCGAGTGCCATCACACGACTGGCATACTGATCTTTGAAGTAATCTTGATAGGCCAGTTCATTTCGTAGCATTCGTTTACAAAAAATTTTCAAGTCTCCAGTCAAATTTTTTCGCATTTCGTAACCCTTTACAAAAACTGACGTGTACGCTTCTGTTACGGCCTCCTTTTCGACACAGGCATTGAAGTAGTATTTTTTGCGTTCCTTTAGCTCTTGCAAATCATCATAAAAATCAGAGCCCTCTTTTTCTATCTCTTTCCAAAATTTATCTACAAAATAGTTATAAAGCGCTACGTCGGCAGTGTTCCATTTTTTAATCAAGTTTTCTTCCTCCGCCGTCAGTACACGACGTTTATTTTTGTTCAGCCTCTCATTCGTTTTAAAGAAAACAACGTCATCTATGCTCCAGCAAAGCCTCCTTTTCAACAGAACCATTGATTCGTCAAAATGTTCCATCATCAAAACGATATCAAAGTCTTTCTCAATGGTTTTCAACGCTCTTCGAATCATCGTTATGTTGTCATAGTATTTGTAATCTAGGCCCAGATCAAAGAACAGTGGATTCTTTATCAAGTGTATTGAGGGGAACCGCCGCGCGTTTTTCTGTATGTTCTGTATTGATGGAGGATGATTTAGGAAAAAATTTAAAGGGTCTTTCATTTTATAGATATTCAGAATATAAGGGAAGCTCATATAACTGAACGTAGACTCCCATTGCTTAACAGGTTCTCGTAGAATTGTAATATATGAAGTTCTTTTACGTGGGAACAAAACATTCATGGACTTTCGACTGTAGCGAGCGTGGTTGGCAAGGATGTTTGGCATGACTCCGTGGTTGTCCTTTGCATAGCTTAGTCGAAATTTATTTGGCCAGTTGAAAGAATAAAACTGTTTATCATTTGGAAGCAACATTGTCAAATTATTCCAATCGGCGTAACGATTTAAGATGTTCGTTATCGTACTACTTCCAGTTTTGTGCGTCTTCAAAAATACGACATAATTCTGGGGCTCGCATCGAGGCCTCTGAGTTGGTGGTTCCGTACTAGGCCTAGTTGGTGATCCAGTCTTTCGGGTCGAAATTTCCCGTGTTTGCGCGATGGATGCCGATGTGGTTGGCTCGATGTCGAAATATACTCTTTCGACGACTCTGGTTGCAACGTAGCTGGAAAAACAAAATAACAAATACATACTTGTATTCTATATCACTATATGTAAATCAATAGGCCCCTAAGATAGGGTTAAACATTTTTTTACACTGCTTGTTGAAAGTGTTTATATAAAAAATCTCTTACAAAGTTGCTTGTTGCCAATTTCACAACGCAACAGCAAACAGTTCATACACTTTTAAACGGGCCTTGTTTTCACTTCTTTAAAGTTCCTTGTCGGGGAACAGCAAAATTTGACTCTGCAGAAGATTTTTGAACATGTTGCATATGCATAGTGCGTATGCATAGTGCGTATGCATCGTGCGTATGCATCGTGCGTATGCATCGTGCGTATGCATCGTGCGTATGCATCGTGCGTATGCATCGTGCGTATGCATCGTGCGTATGCATCGTGCGTATGCATCGTGCGTATGCATCGTGCGTATGCATCGTGCGTATGCATCGTGCGTATGCATCGTTTACAGCCTAGAATCTGTGGGAAAACGTTGTATGAGTGAAATCAGGCCACCCTCTCCCTCCTTTCTCCTTCCCCTTTCCCCTCTCCTTCCCCTTTCTCCTCCCCTTCCCCCTTCACTCTTCCTATCTTCTGGGCTTGAAGGCGGGAAAGAAATTCTCAGTTATGCGCATGCGTAATGTTTTTTAATCCCATCAAGAAGGACTCTAAGTGAAGTTTTAGTATAGCCATGGGTAATGATTCGTTTTGCTACTTTTTCTTATTGTGATGATTTTCTAAACTCTTTGACTTCATTTTTTTGTTGAATTTTTGCTTTAAATTTGTAAAGTCCATGTAATTTTTTTATCGTGCATCATCAAGTTTGAGCCAGCCCAAAACATTTTATCTCGGTGATGTTAATCCTGTAGTAGGCTCCGCAAACCTTGGAGGGCTTACACCTTGTCATCCTTTCTTTTGGGGCAACCGGAAATAGCAGTGCACACGCATGTTGCATACGCAGGTTATATCCGGTGTAGACTAACGACTTCCCATTGTATTTTTATTGTTCATTGGCGTATATCAGGCGTGAGCTTTACATGGATTCCACCCTGGTGGAAAATATCCACGACTAGGGAATCAAATGTTTAGGTTCAAGGGCCTACAAGGACAGGACCAAGTGTCGTTCAAACGGAAACAAAACATAAACAAACAGGTTACCGTGTAGCCCTTGTGACAAGCCCGCAAATCAATAGCTTTGTTTTCATCGCCTGTGAAGTTTTGTTTGAAGTTTTGAAGCATGGCCACCAACGAGCTTTAATTGACAATATAACTATAAAGATTTTCTACGTATTTTGAGCACGTGGTTAATCGTTTTAATTGCCTTCGCAAAAGTAATTACACCTTGCTTTAAAATCTATTCTTCCCAATCCAAAAATTTCCATTATCCGTTTGCGAAATTGCTGGTGCTTGCTGACAATAATACGATCTTAGATATTAGAGTGTATTGTTATTAAAGTTGTTATTCTCACGACATATTATGAGACAAAAAAAATAGATGTTTTCATTTCAAAAGTTTTCAAAAGGGCTTCAGATGTGAAGAACAAAGGGCTTCAGATGTGGTTTGGTTAAGATTAGGAAAGGCTGCTAGCTATTTGACAAAAAACCGCAAAATGGGAAACCCCTTGCAACACGCTCGATTGTTAAGAAAAACTTAAAGAAAAGAAGGTTTTCTTTTCTGTCTGGAAGCAGAATGCAGTCCTGTCTGTTGGTGGACGTAGGCACATTAAAGATGGACGGGCAGATAATGTTGTTTCGTTGCCAAAATGTTTCTCGTGGCTTGACTTAATTGTCGTCACGTTTCTCGCATATTGAAACGTGATGTCGTATCAGTGGCGGAAATTCATTTTTCCAGTGGGGGGTGGGGCAATGCCCACAAAGCAAGCAATTTTACCGACAAAATCGCCAATTTAGCAAAACCTGGGGGGCGACCGCCCCCCACACCCCCGCAATTTCCGTCATTGTGTCGTGTTACCATGCTGTTACAAATGTAGGCTTACATCTGAAATATGCAAAATAAACCGTCTCCGTATATTTAACATTATAACAAAGTTGCATACCCTTTTTGAGAAAAACATCTCGATATTGATACATAGCTGAATCTGTACTGTAAAAGTAGGCAGCCGCCACATAAAATAGCGAAAAGCAGAAATGCGCTGCGATAATTCATTCCACAATTTAGGATTTTCTCCAACTTTGTCAATCACGCAACCCACTGTCCACTCAAAATACAGCCTGCATTTGAATTTTTGTCGCTGGAATACGATAGATAGACCGCGGAATAAAACCACAGATGACAGCCAGCTTTATGAATAGGAACGCGTTGATGTTATTAGGAGTATCAAATTGTATTCAACTCATATTTTCCAGACTGCTCAATCCTGATTTCAGTCGAGGCGAAATGTATAGCGGACGATTTGGGCGACTTGAATTCTCAGCTAATCATTGTTTATACAGTGAAATTCTTGAGTACATATGCATTGGGCGACTTTTGCCTCAGGTTAACTTCTTTATGGCAGGTTTATTAAGGAGAGGGCCAAAAGGTCGTACCGCCCGACACTTTCAGAAACCGGCCACCTGTGTATATCGATACCGCTAATGCTGACCGATCAAACGACAAAAGTGACCACAAACCGAACGTCTAGGCCACAGTTGAAACTAGAACACTAAAACTTTATTCAATTTTGCTCTATTTGGTCCATTTGAAAGACAGGGACCCTCTCGTAAAATTCTAAATGAAATTCAAGGAAGTGTGTCTCGATGATCGATGTTGACGTTAATAGTAGCGAAGGTAACAATCGACGTTACCTACCCTCAACGAATTCTGAGAGCAAGACTGTCCTAGGAAGCATTCCTTGAACTGCATCCAATGGCGGCGCCAGCCACTACGTTCAGGGGGGGGGCAGAACAAAAGATTTTAGAGCACGCCCCCTTTAGCACCAGAAAACGCCCTTTTACTAACAAGTCCCCCCAGTCCCCCACGTGGCGCCGCTACTGACTGCATCGACTATATAATCGAATATAGTCTTGTGTTTTTTTAAATTTCCAATATGTTCATTGTTTTATTGGGGGGGGGGGGAAATGTTGAAGTCTGGTGTTACCCCCTGACGCCTATATGTATATTGTATAGCATTGTACTGCATAATCATTTTGTGATAGTACTAGACTAGTTGTGTACACACCAATACAAACTCTTCTGTTGAGTTATTCCTAACATTCCATATCCTCTCAGGTATCAGAGAAAAGAACGGGGGGGATCTTTCTTTGTTTTCTCTCTGTAAAACTTTATTGGATTACAACTGACGTCTTTTATCTTTCTATTAAAATCCCCTTCGCTATAATTATCAACATCTCTGCGCAGATTGATCCTGTTTTTTCGCCTAAATACACTGATTTTTTATAAGAAACTGGCTATAAGAAACCAGTACTGGACAGTCAGAAAAAATTAAGAAACTTCAGTACACAAAGCAAAAATTACAAAAATATTAAATCGTGATAAAACTGAGAACAACGAAATTTTGTAAAATCAAAGGACATGATTGTCCTGATGGCCTAGAAAATGAGACACAAGGGATAAAAAATATGCTTCCCACGTCTAAATACAGCTTCAGAATGGAAGCGAATCTCTTGACGTTATAAAAAGTCATGAACATTTCATAACATCATTCATGACATCATAATTAAGAAACTCTTAAGGAACTGTGAGTATTGAAATTTCCAGAACATTAAGAAACTGGAGTACTCAACATCGACCCTTGTTTCTTATAAAAAAAATGAGTGTGTCACGTGTTTATTGATTACAGTAACTTGTATAGAATTCCCTCTTGAGAGACCAATTCAACTTACAGCCTCGTTTTGAAAAATTCTTCAAATTTTTCTGTTCTGCTTAAAATTTTGGAGGTCAGATTCTGATTGAGGGCATTCTCACGATATTGATTTTAGACGACAATTGATTAAAGTCTTAAAATTTTTTTAAGGATTTGACCGATTTTTGCAAGTTACAAGTTTTCAACCTTCATTTTCCCTTAATCTAAAATTCAAGCATAAACAATGGGAAAAATTGTATCCGGCCAAAAATTATGGTGATAAAACCAAATCTGAGCTTTTAAAAGTACAATGAAGTTTGGAAACAGTTTGAAAAAAAATCGTAAATTTCCTGGGAAAAGATATTTCCAAAAATTTACCGGCTAACACAAGCAGTTACTGGCTGTATTACAAAATTAGCAACTAATTTAAGCAAAGGAGTTAAGTGAAAATATTTTTAAGTAAGGAAACTAAACATCGTGAAATGTTAAAGAGTTATTCTGGAAAGGTAGAATTGCTCGTGGGAGTTGGATGAGGCAGAAAATTTCCGAAGATATTATCGTGACCAAATTTGGGCAAAAATTGTCTTAAAAATGCAAAATGAAGAAACACTCGTGCAGATAAGAGTAAAACTATGCAGGTCAAGGAGGAACAAGTCACCAGAAGTTCTACAGCCATATCTAGACTCAATGACAAAATCATTTACTATGGCCTTCATTATGAACAGAAAATTAGAAGGGAAATTGACTCTGACAGTATTGTTGGATCTGCGATAAAGTGAATGAACTGGTCATACCAGTGTGTAAGAAATGGTACTGAAAAGATATAAAGAGAAACAAGTTTTTGAACGACCTGACGCGAAAAGTATCCGATTGTTAAATTAAAAAGAAAGCTGTGAATACCTGCAGAAAATATTGGCGTCAGCGACCAAAGTCCCGAAATCTTTCTTCACACAATTTATTTTAATCCTTTAAAAAGCCCCAGATATACACCGCCAAACAGCAGCAAGATCTGCAGTGCTATAGCGAAGCGATGAAGTTGCAGAAAATTTCGTAACCAATGAAGATCTGGTCATGGGAAATATATGGGAAATTACAGTGATCAACTTGAGGAAGATATTATTATATTTTTTACTAAAACTTGCAAGCACTTTACATTTAATATTTTATTAGTATCATCAAAAAACCTTAACGTAATTAAGATGCTTCATTTCAATAAGGAAAAATTCACTCAAATTGATTGTTGTTTATCAAATGGCATGTTCCAGATGGCCCACCTACAGATTTTTGCTCCTAAAAGTTAAAATAACCTCGAAACATTGAATTGCGCAGTAGTGTGCTTTTATTCTGCGTTTATTAATTAAACTGTTATGCAATGGACATTTCTAAACGTGAATAATGTTATAGCTCAAAATTATTTTTCAATACTTATTTAGAGGTTTCAATGACAGCTGTAATCAAATTGATTTATGCGTAGCTCTGTATACACTCATTCATTTTATAAGAAATAGGTTATAAGCAGTGGCGAAGCTAGCCAAAAATTGTTGGTCCTGCTGTATGTACAAGGCCACTGTAAATAGACAGTTCATTTAAACAATCGCTTTTATGCTGTTGCTGTTGTTTTGTTCGATTATTGATTTTGCTGCATGTCACGTGATGGCTACATACCAGCATTGCATCAGACATCAGATCACACGTTGTACTTTGTGCCGGGTTCATGTACATTGCATCAGATATTTTTCTATCGCTTCCCTGATTGGCCAGGAACATTAAATACATTTCTGTTAACCATATTTAGTAAAGACATATTATTTTCCTAATTTTAACCTTTGCCCCTAGATATTCATATATATATCGTGTAGCGTAGTTTTTAGAGAGACTCGCCGAAAGCTGTAGATTAATAAAGTTGCTGTCGAAATCATTTGCTGTTCTAGACGAGACGTGTCTTCATTCGAGTTCTTCTGCTCAAGGTCGTAAGTTAATTCTTCTTATTATTTAGAACTCACGCGTTTATGTTAGATCAAAGTAGTGATTTAACATTTGGTGCCCCGTGTGAGGAAGACGATTGAACGAGAAAACTTTTTGCATGCAATAACTTTTTCAAGATATTATTTTCAGCCGTTTAATGATCAGTTTTCACGTCTTATCGAAGATCAAAGCCGTTTTTCTTCAAGTAGAGAGAATTCCTTACAAAGAGTGAACTTTGTGTATTTGCCTTACAACGAGTAAATTCAGTTTATTATCCTTGCAAAGAGTGAACTTTGTTTATTTGCGTTGCATCGTTTTGTTTAAATAGAATGACTTTATCTGCAAGATCTCTTTTTGTGGAAATACAAGATTTTATTGGACGTTCAGTGTGTGCGTAATCGCTGCAATTTATTTTCTTTGACTGACTCAATTTTGCTGAATCGTATTTTAACGTAGTTAACTTTATTGGTAATCTTTTCGAAATGGCTGAGCAACTCCAGATAACAGTAGACAATTTACAAACGCAATTAAGTGCTGTCCAGGCTGCAATAGATGGTAACACAAATTCTAGTTTGTTTAAACAACCCCCGTTTAATGGCCTCCCAAACGAAGATGTAAACGAGTGGCTTGCAAAATTCGATAGACTTTCGAAATTTTACAGTTGGTCAAACGCAAAGAAACTCGGTGCACTTCCGTTAATGTTGGGTGGCCCTGCACTGGCCTGGTTTCAAACATTGACTAATGAAACTGCCAATGATTATCAAGCTTTGATCGAGGCCCTGAAAGACAGGTTTGGAGCCCAAAATTTGGACTTCATTTTAAGACAGGAACTTTATGCCCGTAAGCAAGGACCAAACGAGCCTTTAGCAGTCTACACGGAAGATATGATAAGAAAGTGCCAACGTCTTTCTCTTTCGGACATGGAGATGATGAACTTATTTATCAATGGTCTAAAAAACGAAATTAAAAGTCATGTTATTTTGAACCAGCCTAAAACGTTCGCAGAAGCTGATAATTTAGCCAGGCTCCGATCAGCAGTTTCCTCCACTTCCGTACCTGAAAACCTTCTTCCGAGTTTAAGTAACACCCTGCAGGAGCAACGAATAAAAGAACTTGAAGGCCAAGTTAATTTGCTGATGACATATGCCTCTAAAAAACAGGAACAAAAACCAGTCCATGCTATCGACACTGCGTTTCCCTCCAGTTTGCCTCTTCAAAATGGTCTTCATGGCTTTTCGAATGCCTTTAACAGCGTTCCTTACGGCCAAAACGAATTGCAAAACATGAATGTTGCTGCCCTCGATAATCGTTTCCAACAGCCAGTTCACAAAAATCCTCAAATTTCCAGGCATTCATTCCAAAACGGTGCAAGGGGTCGCAATCTTCGTACCACTGATGGTCAGCCCATATGCAATTCTTGTCAAAGAGTCGGGCATGTTTCTCGTTATTGCAATCTGAGGCAACAAAATCCTGCCCCTAGTCACAGAATAGAAATGACCAGAAGGGTCACTCCTGGCCAATCGATTCAGCGCGAGTTTTTTCGCGCATGCGTAACCAAAACGAGGATAGTATGTCAAACAATAAGCACGAACAAAGCACATCGATGAAAAACAACACAATAATGCGAGATGGGACTAGGAAAACAAATTCAACGATCTGAAAAAGAATTAAACTAGTATCTTGCCCTGTTTATATTGCTTCATAACCGAAAAATACTGCTATCAATGGTGGTCTCGCATCTCACAACTGTAGTAGGCCTGTAGTATTGATTATTAGCTAACAGGGAATTTAAATATCGTTTCCAAACTCACGATCCATAACGAACTAAGCGCCTCTGTGTTTTTATACACTCTCCTTTTGCTTCATGAAGGTATGAAGTGCAGCCCCAGTGATATTCAAGGGAGCTTGTTTTGAAATTTGCTTCAACACGCCTTCGATTGCGAAACATCCTAGACTACTAGCCTCCTTTCATGACGGTTGAAAACGAGAACTGTATGTACAGACAGCGCGGCGCCAGAAAAAATCGAGTGAACTCGCAACAAAGGATGCCGACACGAGTGACCCTTCTGGTCATTTCTATTCTGTGCCCTAGTCAAAACCAGCGTCAATTCAACTTTTGGCAGCGCCAATCTAATTTTGAAAACGACCGATTTGATCAATCTCGTTATCAGCAAACACGATATGGT